TAAATAAATAAATAAATAAATAAATAAATAAATAAATAAAATGAAGTTAATAAAAACTATTTTTTTAAATAAATTCAAATATGTCTACCTGCACAGGTGTGTCCATCCCCTGTGTAACCAGGGTGACAAGTACAGGTGAAGTTCCCCACTGTGTTGGTACAGTTGGCGTTCACGTCACAGCTGTCAATGTAACTGGTGCACTCATCAATATCTGCAAAGAAAACAGGCAAATATTAATTTCATTTAAGAATTTGTAGACTGTTTAGTAGTTACCCATAGATATTATGATACTTATTTTTGTTGTGACTTTAAATATATGAAGCAATGTGCTTTATTCATCCAACTAAAGAAATACCAAAATAATAATAATAATGATAATAATAATTGATACTGTGGCCAAAAGTTATTAAAATCAGTAAAATCATCTTAAGTGATCAATAAACTGCTGAATGTGTTGCAACAGCTTAATCATAAGCAAATAACAAAATTAAAAATTATATTTGAGGGGCAGTTATAAACTAATTTTAATGGCTGATGATTTTTATTGTGCAGATTTGATGAAAAAAAAATTAATCAATAAAGACCTTCACAAATGAACCCATCTCCCAGGAAGCCCTCATGACAGGCACAGGTAAAGCTGGCCAGTGTATTTGTACACAAGGCGTGAGGACTGCAACCTCCATTGTCTACAAGGCATTCATTGGTGTCTGCAAGGAAACAAATATAAAAAATACTTGCAAATTTGTGTAATAAAGAAAAAAATTGGCTTAAACAAGAAAATACAGTTGGAACTCTATCAAGAGCAGTTTTATTATCTAAGTTGTGATATTTATCACCTTGACAGGTTAATCCATCTCCCGTATATCCCATGTGACATGTACAGATAAAACTCCCTGCCGTATTGGTGCATGTTGCATCACTGTCACAGCCACCATTGTTCTCCAAACACTCATCTATGTCTAGAGCAGCAAAAAAGAAGTTTTTAAGTAGCAGCAAAATAGAAGTTTTTTAAGTAGATGTTCACATCTACTTAAAAGTAATAACTCTTTATAACACATGAAAATATAATAAACTTCATTTTACCACCAATGACTGAAATGAACCAAAAGAAGTTAAAATACAGTTACTGTTAGTAGTAGTCCAATGCAATGGTAGAGTGTCTTTTTTGACAGAAATAAACATATTGATTGTGAATGTAGTCAAAATTAATCTGGTTGACTGAAAGGCCATCTACATGACTGGCTTTCATAGGTAGTCAATCTCTGGATTTCTCAAAACGAAGCACATAGTACAGAAAAAAAAAAAAAAAAAAAAAAAAAAAACGTACCACTAGATGTAAAAATGGCTTAAAACACATACCATGACAGGTGTAGCCATCTCCCAGGAATCCAATATTGCAAACACAGTCCAAGCTGTCTCCAGTATCTACACACATAGCATTGTCGTCACATGTTATGTTACCACGGTAACACTGGCTAATGTCTAGAAAATTAAGTACAGGCTATTTTTGAAATATACCTTATCAACAAAGATGAAAGTGGGCTTTTGAACAATAATCCTGAAAGTGCAAGTTCTATATCAATGGGGCAAAAACTGCTACCAAACATTCGATTTCTTGGTAAATTCATAAAAGGGCCATTCCGTGGTATTTGGTCCGCAGACCTCAAAATTTGAAAAAGGAATCCTACTTATAAAACTTATAATTTCTGAAACCAGACACCATAAGACACCAGAACCCAAAAGAAATTTTAGGTTTTGATGATTAATAATGATTTAATTGACACTTTTATCTGGAAAACTTATAAAATAGTGTCACGGAAGGACATTTTTATTTTAGATATATTTTTCATAATAGAGATCATTTTAAACAATAAAGGCTAAATACATTAATATAACTTATTTCTTACATTTAGTCAAGTGCATTAGATTAAAAAATATTTGATTATAAAATAATGGATTAATTAATATCAATTTGTCCTTCCGTGACGATTTTGGTACCTATTTTTTAAGTTTTCTCAGTAACTACAAAAGCTAAAAGCTTATAACTTCATATTCTCCTCAACCATGATAGGGGCCAACAAAATACGAAAACATTTTTGCTTAGAACCACTTCAATAAGAAATAACAGGTCATGTGACCAATGAGCCCTAAACCCTTATGTCTTTCAAGATAATCTTGAACTTAAAATTCACAATTATTATATATAGAAGAATTTTTAAACTGAGAAACATTTCATTTGAATGAATAATTTTGAAGTTATTATAATTTAGACAATTGATTATATTTATAATTAATAGATTTGGTAAGATTTTCTCTAAAAATGTCCTAATATTATTTAAAGATGATCAGAGCAGATGAGAACTTATATTATAGTCAAAAATAGTAACATGTTTGAAGATGAAATATATAACCATGGAAGGACATGTTTACCTTTGATGTTATTCATCAAACTTATGCTGGTATGTATTCATAAAATATTATTATTAGCCTTATTTTACATTTTATTTAGCAATGGACAAAATGTCCTCCCGAGAAGCGTCCTTCCATGACGCCTACTTTTTTTTTATATGCAAAATTTTCAAATTTATAATTTTTTTTTCCAAAAGAATTTTTATACATTGAGAAAGTGAAATAATCAAATATTCATATTTTGATTTGACTTTAAAAATATCTACACAGACAGAGCAGAATTTTAGTGTTGAAGTTGAAAGTTAAAATTCCATGTCCATTTCACGTCCTTCCAAGACGCTAACTATTTATTATAATTTTTTCGTAACTATATTTTTTTAAAACCTATTTTTTTTGCCTAATTATAACTTACATATAGAAAAATAAACATACAAAAAATGGACCTTGTAACTTTTTTACTTTTAAAAATATTTTCATTTGAAGTGTCAAATGTCCTTCCGTAACAGCAAAAAAATACCACTGAATGGCCCAAAACTTCCATCCCTAAAAAAATGCAAGGGCATACAGAAGCCATCTTCTGGGTCTTCCGGAAGACAGTCAAAAATTTTCAAGTTTACAATGACAGGTATCTTATTTTTCGATCAGAAAGTCAAAAATGGAGGATGGATCAACAAAGATAATTTGAAAGACTGTCAGAAAATATCTCTAGATCCCCCACTGAAATGAGAATATGGAGTGCATTAAAACTTGCCAAAATCCATGGCTTGTAAATACTTCTGCTGTAATCAAAGCTTTTAAAGAGCCTCTATTATTTACAGTTGTTGTATGCAGAAACTATTATTGCATTATATATATTAAGCATTACACATCCAATGAAATTATTTCCTGGAAACCAAACTTTAACTGAAAACAGCTGTAGGAGGTTATTCAACCTTTTTTTTTTCAAACCTTTTTTGTTCTTTCTATCAATTAAGTACCTCAGCACCCCCACCTCCCCCCTCCACCCCCCCCCCCAAAAAAAAAATAAATAAATAAAATAAATTTTTTAGAAATTTTGATTGTTGAAGCATTAAAATAGACTCACCTAAACAGGAAAATCCGTTCCCACTGAAGAACATGTTACATGAGCAGGTGAAGCTGCCAATGCTGTTGGCACACATGGCATTCTCATCACAACCTCCATCATCCACTGAACACTCATTTATATCTATAAAGAACTAGAGGATCAGAGAGGCGATACCGCCTCCGAATATTGTACCACCAGCTGGAGCAAGCGCATTCGTATAGACCCCCACATACACAAAATAAGGGACACAGCCACCAGTTTTGTGCTTGACAAGCTGTAAAAATGCAATCAACAAGAATTTTTAAACTTTTGCAAAAAATATATATGGTACAATCAAATTTAAGTTCTTCGTAAGATAGGTCAAGGGTCAATTTTAAGGTCACAGTAAATTGCCAGTATATGACTTCCTATTCAAGTTCGAGAGTAACTATGGACCTATCTCTGCCAGTTTTGGAGATATAAGGGACTAAATGTTATAATTTTGGAGTTACCATAATGTGCCTTAAATTTCGTACAGAAAAAATTAATTAAAATAAAGAAAATGTCATTTTGGTCAAAATTCTTGAAATAGGAGGTGCTCTGAAGTTTCAGAAGTTCAAATTTGATGAAATAATGTCATTTTTGAACACAAGTTGTCTGCTTTGCCAAGCCTTATGTTTTATTTTTCCAGAGTTCAAAATTTATTATCCATTACCGTACTGCACATTTTGCTTTTACCACCAATATGTACTTTTTGATACAGCGTAACTCGAAAACCGTATGGAATACAAAAAAACCGAGACCACCTCCAGTGTTGGGCTTTACATGCTCTACAAAATGCAAAAAAGAATGGGTCTCTAGCATTAACGGTTCCCGAATTAGAGACAGTTTTCAGTTTCGGTATCTTATGGCCGCTACTCCCGTGAAAATGCACCGATTGACCCCAAATTCATGGAGATGAAAGATGACCTGAAGGGTAACACTTTCCAATAATATTATTGGTTAAGTCTGTGTGGTGTCTGAATAACAGGGCAAAAAAAATTTTTTTCGTAAAAAATTTCATTTTTTTGAAAATTTTGGCCCATTTGACCTTGAAGTAAAGGTCAAAGGTCAAATCCAAGGGTATATTTGAAATCTACACATATGACTTTTGGAAAGCCGTCTATAGAAATTTTTCCCATAACTCCTTCCGTAGGGTAGATAATTAGCATTTAATTTTGCCATTTTTAGACAAGGGTGCATTGTAATGAGTGCCACACCCAGACCCCAATACCGACAAAGCCCAAATTTTACGTGGAACGAGTTGAGATTATAGGTGACCTAAATCCATGAGATGGGTATGGGGGCCCTTACCGTCTAGGAGGAGAAGCGGTAACGGTAGCCGTCCGGCGGAACGATCCGGACGGGACCAAAACCATGTGTACCGCCAGCGCTAACGCTGGTGGTACAATTAAGGAAATACATACAATGTATGTATAAAGTAACAAAATTTCTTTTCAAAGCATCTCTTTATAAACCAAAAATCTTTTATGTTTCAAAATGGAATCTGAACAAAGGATAGCGAATTGATAATATCAGTTATTAAACATTTTTAAACTGATATTCATATAACTTTCTGACAAGCAAAGAGGAAGTAACCATTTGGCAGTATTTGTTCAGCTAAAGACAATTAATAATTCAAAATTTTAAAGCTAATGTCATACATGGAATTTCTAGTTTTGTGGGTAAAGCAACCACTACATCACAACCTCGTTGGGTAAGAAACATTATCATTCAACAATGAAGACAAATTAAAGTAGTCCCCAAGTTTAAGAAAAGTCCCCACCAGATAATTTTTCATTCAGAAGAATGGGTAAAATTCTTACCCTCACAGTAAAAACCATCTCCTGAAAATCCATCCAAGCAGGAACAAGAGAAGCTGCCAGCACTATTATTACATAATGCACTGGCATGACAGCTGTCGTTAAATAAACATTCATTGATGTCTGAAATTAAAATAAAACAAACACCTCAAGTATAACTTGGCTTTTGTTTTTAGTCTGTGTTTGAAATAAAAAAATTGGCATCCTTGGAAGAATTTGTGTTATAAATCAGTTGTGTGTTGGTCGTGACAGTGTTTTATTAGGACCTGTGACAGGTGTGATGGTGTTTTGTTAGGTATGACAGTGTTTTGTTAGGTGTGACAGTGTGTTAGATGTGACAGTGTTTTGTTAGGTCTGAGATTGTTAGGTTTGACAGTGTTTTGTTAGGTCTGAGATTGTTAGGTTTGACAGTGTTTTGTTAGGTCTGACAGGGTGTTAGGTTTGACAGTGTTGTGCTAGGTGTGATAGTGTGTTAGGTGTCACCTTGTGTAAGGTTTGCTAGGATTCATGCAATTAATGTAAGTATGGAAACCCAGGTGTTGGGCATGGTAGGGTAAATTGGCAGATGAGAAAAGGATAACAGGTTTTAAAATAAGGAAGTTTATAAATGGTATGACAATTTTTAAAGAGTAACAACATGTAGGCTTGGCCTAAGTACGCCAATATGCGTCATGACAGGTCAATAATACATTTTGAGAACTTGACATTATTTTGAAATATTTTACTTTCTTACCATCACAGACAATTCCATCTCCAGTGAAGCCAGTATGACAAGTACAGGTGAAGTTACCAAGAGTGTTAGTACAGTCAGCATCAGCTGCACAGCCACCATTGTTGACAGCACATTCATTGATGTCTGAAATAAGAAAATCACTCAATAAAATTAACATACATATAAAGAAAGAAAGAAAGAAAATTACAATAATAATAATAATAATAATAATTTTAATTCATTAAACCTCAGCAATTAAATGTGCCAGGGCGTGATGGGCTAGTTAACACCTGAATATTCTAAGGGTACCAAAACACACTGACATGCCAAGCAGGGTCAGATTAAGAAACGTAACGTCAACACAGATGAGTTATACACAGTGACACAGATTATTATAATATTACTTATCAATGTCATGATTTTGCTTATATTACAACACACAAAATGTTTAAATAACATTTTTAGCCCAAGAATAGCTTTATCTGGTTATATTACTTAAGTTTTGTGAGACCAAGATTAATTATTAACCATCCCAGATATATTTTTAAAATAAATTTAATATCACCACTGTATACGAGAATGAATGAATTTCATGACATCAATTACTTTGATCAATTTGGATGTCATTTGTAAGAGATCAATAACTTTCTCATAAAAATCTCTGTGATGTACTCAGTTAAATATATATATATAGCCTACCTTCACATGTAAAGCCATTCCCTGCGTAACCTGGATGACATGTACAGATGAAACTTCCCTCTGTATTGGTGCAGGTAGCGTCACTGGCACAGCCACCATTGTTGACGGAGCACTCATTGATCTCTGGAAGATAGTACATTTAAGTCTTTGGAGTCAGCAATTACAAAATAATGGAAATGTTTTTAAAGTTAACCTTTTCATCCCCTTGGATGACCCAACTTGAGAAATGGCATGGAAGACATAAATTTTGATTCTGAAAGGACCTTGTTAGCCAAAATTCTAGTTATCTAAACCCCTACCCACGTCTCAATACATGACATAAGAGATGACAATGGTGTTATGCATTAAGAACATATTTCTACTTTGATCAAATATTTCTTATTTGCTTCAGCTGAAGGGTCTTTTGAGCCTCAATTTCATCACAGAAAATATATTACATAAAAATGCTTGTTGATCTTTTGAATACAATTCACCTACAATTCAACATAAAAGCGTGAACACTAATGCAATATTTTTCATTTCTCTGAAAAATGAAATTAATTCTAGCACTGCAGCACCATTAATTGTTATACCCCATGTCTTAACTGATTTTAACAGATTAAAACATGTCATATTTAAGAAAAGAATGATGTGCATTAAACAGACATACCCACACATGTGAACCCATCTCCAGAATACCCCACTTTACAAACACAGGAGTGGTTGCTCAGCATGTTGATGCAGTCAGCATTCTTGTCACAGCCTCCTCGGTCCACCAAGCATTCATCAATGTCTGAACATGTAAAAGGTTAACACAATTACCGATGGAAATCATCTGATGCAACTTAAAGAGAAACTATAAAAGCCACTTACAATCACATCTTATCAATATTTCCACAAGTCACAATATTTTAAATGAGATACAGTTTCAAGATGGCAGCCAAATCCAAGATGGCAGCCATTTTCATAATTTTTAAAAAGAATTACGTGCAGACTTACCAATACAAGCAAAGCCATCCCCAGTGTAGCCTGATTTACAAGAACACTCAAAGTCCTCCCCTGTTCCAGAGCACTGTGCACTACTGTCTATGCAATTCTGTCCTCCTTTCACACATTCATCTATGTCTACAAACATAAAGTTAAAAATAGAGGTGCCTATACAGTTAAAATTGGAAGTTCTTAAAGAAAGCTAAAATAATGAAAGTCCCAAAGGTGTGCAGCTGTATATGAGTTTATGGGTTTCTGAGGGCACAAATACAATATTAAACAACCAAATATATGGGTTTCTTGCTTTGGAAATCTTTCATCTCTATATCAGGAAGATCATAATCAGTAAAGTTATAATGGTTGTTCTGTCTTTTTCCAAATTATCCAATTAATTGATAGAGAAATTAAGCAAACTGACAAAAAAGAACTAAGTACATAGGTTAAATGAACACAGAGGTGAAAATGAATAAACACTGTCAGTTAAATTTTAAAGACTTATCTCTGTGGAATTGCACCTTAAAATAATTAAAATTGGCCAGTGGTATAAAGTAAGAAAACATGCATACAGTTAGCACAAGAGCGATGTACATAGCCAGTTCCAATAGCACAATAAAATCTGGGCGGGCACGTCACTGGCTCCACACCATCCACACAGTAATGCCCCACTGGACACACTTCACACTTCACAGACCCATTGCTGGATGCATAGAATCCCACAGGACAAGGAATAGGACTGACTGTCCCAGGCTCTGGACAATAGTGACCAGGGGGACAGATGTTGCCTTTATGGACGCCATCATTGGGTGTTGCCATGGTGACCAGGGTTACGCAGAAGTACCCTGCATCACAGAGGCCTGATGGGACACTTAGTCCTGTCTGGTTGCAGTGATGGCCTGCCGTGCATGGTTGGCAGTCCTCTAGACGTGATCTCCCAGTGCTGTTAGACCAGTACCCCAGAGGACATGGAATGGGTCCTGGGGTTCCTCTTGGGCAGTAGTGACCTCTTGGACAGGGCATGCCTGTGCTGCCATCTGTTGGAGTTGGAGAGATCGCTGCTGACTTGCACCAGTATCCTTCCAAACATTCTCCTGATAAATTAAACATGCATTTAAACAATACCATTTGAGAATAGTTTGGCATTAATTAATTCATTTTGGCATGGATAATACTTCAAAATAAAAAATGGCTGCAATAGAACTCCACTAATATACATAAGCCATGGGGAACTTGTAGGTAACATGTCAATCAAATTTTCATCATATTTTCAAGGTGCAACAGTCTTTAAATTAAATTGGACATTGTTGTAAACTAAGAATTTATATTTCACATTGTGATTAAATTAGATACAAATGAAAAGTCAATTGTCATGTTACATGTATACTCCCATATACCAGTAATATATAACTGATTTGCTCATATGTTGGAACTTGAACTTCATTAATTCACTTAATCTTGAACTAATCTTCTTTTATATTGTAATTATATATTATATATTTTTGTATTTTATCCCCCAGATGTGGATCAACCTGTAGTTAACCTTGGGGCATGTTAAAGAATTTTGATTTTCTTAAATGAAGCTGGCAACTGTCATATTTATTTTTGTGCGGTCCAAATGCAGATTAGGATCAGCTAAAGGTATATTAAAGTAATTTTATTTCAAATTCTTTAAAACATTTTTGTGTGTCTTTAAGTCTCCCTGTGGCTTTCCTTTCCACATTGTCTTTTAGTCTTAATTGTCCAAATGTTATCTTGCATTACTGACTGAGCCAGATACTGAAAGACAGACAGTTGCAATTTATGTGGCTTGTTTGTACAATTTTCATCTGTTTATTTGCAAGCCTTACTGTGAAATCATGTGATGCAGGTGAGAGGTCAGAGCTTGAGGCAAGTGGAGCAAAATGAGCAGCATAGGTTTTAGTGTGTAAAATAAACTTTTAATTGTCTCAATATTATATCTAGTAATAATGACGACTGAGGTCTTCAACACAAGAAATGTATCTGCAGAGAAAAAGTGCTCTTGTGAAGTTCGTATACCTCTACTTTTTAAAGTTCCTGGATAACGCGATGTAATTTCAGTTGGTTTGGCCATGCGAATGTTGTGGCACGGTCTTTTGAGACTTAGTGAACCAAGAACAACACAGTCGTGAAATTTCTAGTGTTGCCTTAGTAATGCAAACGCGACTGAGGAATATTCTCCTACACTGATTGAATGTCTACCTTGATCAAGAGCAAATAAAAAGTGAGTCACAGTTAAACAGTTTGATTCTTTAATAAGAACCGATCCAGGTGGGCTCCTTCTGTTAGAGATTTATGGTACTTTGTGATTTGTTAAATTGTCTAATAAGTGTTCAATAAAACTGTTATTGTCTTTCTAATGACATAGGAACATGGGACCTCTCAAGATTGTCCATCCCCTTGTTTACAGAGATCAAAGTATTGATTCTCATAAAATGAAGCTCATAAAATTATCAAATAAATGATTAATAATGACTGTTATTGTCTTCTTTATGATGTGCAGGTGGGAACTCTCAATATTGTCCATCCACTTGTTGTCTGATAATTAAGTCATAAAATGAGCCACACAAACTCTGCCTACGCCTTAGCTTCAATGCCGAAATCAAAAATAAAGCTGCATCAAAATATTATCTAAAAACTTAACATTACATCAAAATATATAATTGAAGTTCGAATTAACTTTACACTCTGATTGGTTTTAGCTGGCAAACATAATGTTGGTCTTTTCAGTTGCTGTACCAGTATGTCAATTAAAGGATGATGAACAGTAAAAAATAAACACAAGAATTGTCTTTCAAGACTTTTTTTGCTTTATTTTATCTACTGATTGACAGGATTTAAAATGTCCATGACAAATTGCTAATTATAACAGTTATTGCAAATGGCAATAGGAGAGTCAGAAAATCATCAAGACTTTCAACTGATCTACATACTGTAGAGGTATTGTAATTTCATAGAATTTATTAAACAGGTTCAAATACCAAACATCAACCTATGGACTTTTACTTTCAGTAAATTATAATATCTTATTAGACTTATGAATTTATTAACTTGATTTGCAGCGAAATAAATTAGCAATGAATTACCAAGTACAGGCAAATTGCATTTTTATGTTTCAATATAAAATCAGCGTCTCTATATATTAAGCTTAGTACAAGTAGCTCTTCTGCATGATGGGCATTAACATCCACGGACGTCTGCCCTCATGCAAATACCAGTGTGAGTGACAGGGTTAATACGCAAATACCGAGCATAGATTGGTGGACTCAGCACATTTTCATGGATGGAGTCCTTGTCTATGTTTCCTTGAAATATCTGAAATAAATGTTGAAGAAACAGATCAATGGAAAGTATTAAGTATTAATCACCTTAAGAGAGGATCAACCTAGTATTTGTAAAATTCTTATGTATCAGTGTGAAGTGTTGTAAAATGACTTATACTTAGAAAACCAGTGTCAGGAAATATATTCTAAATTCATCTTAAATGCTCAAATGTTTTGGAAATTACAAAAAATTAAAAATAAAAATTTATAGTTATAGGTAATATGGCAATTCTCAGACTAACCTTGGCCTTGCCTTTCTCATCACTGACTGCTTTCATCAACAATGAATGGTTTCCATAATGCACCTGGTATTCTCTGACAAAGAAATTATAAGGACCTTCCCGTCCTTTAGTCAGAACTGCCGTCAGCTTTCTCACCCTCCCAAAGTCAAACTGAAGCCACTGATTTGTGTCTTGCGTCTTGCTGTGCCAACATTCCCCAACGCCATTTTTAGTGAATGTATATATTCTTGAAAACTGAGGTCCATAGGCAGTACTGTACGATGAAGAGGCTGTGATTTGCGCATCTGGTATTGGAGATTTTCCAGACACCAACAGATCTCTGCAGTCTTCAGGTGGTGCAAGCGTCTCAAGTGTTTTCATCATTTGGGATATTTTCTCTGCCTGCTGCATTAGGAGTGTCGCTTGGGAGTTCAGGATCTTGTCCTGCTCTTGTACCTTCTGCTGTAGAGTGGCTATAGCCATCTTGCTTTTTGTCTCATTCTGTACTCCAGAAGCAGCTGGTAATTCCAGTGTATAGCTGACTTTGCCATCCTTGGAGTAAGTTGGTTGACAGACATTGGTTATTGACAATTTTTCTGGAGTGACCACATTCAGGCTGATTCCAACCACGGAGTTCAAAAGAAAAACTGGTAGGATGAGTTTGAAAGCCATGACTTGTTACAGTTCGGTAGGCCTACAAATGTTAAGCAGTGCGTTTCGTTTATGGCACTACTGGTACAGTTGAGTGTTGTTATATGCCTTTACCCTGGGTTGATGCCTGGGTTATCTAGAAATTTTGACACTGAATTTCTGCCCTCCTTAATAAGTAATAAATCAGTGAAGAATTTAATTAAAATTTTGATTTAGTGGTTAGAGAAATCAAATGTAAGATGATAACATTATTTACTTCGGTTTGGTAAACATGATTGTTGTCAGGCAGGATTCTACTCTTTGTGTGTATTAGATAAAAATTAAAAAAGTACTAGATAAAAGCTATAGATGTGTGCCGCACTTCATGATAGCATTCATATTTGGAAAACAAATTGATTCTGTTGACATTGTGTAATGTTAAACATTATGTTGCACCTGTAAGAAAAGCAAGATTTAGCTAGGGTACTGTATGTCACTGTGTCATAATCCATATATTTTATCAAACATTTCTTCTTTAAAAATACATTTGAAGTCAATTTTTTGCCACAAAAGCTGACCAAATACCATCCTATCTAGTAGTTTCAAATAGAATAGCTTAGAGAAATAGCAATATTATCATATTATCTGAAAAATGATATTTGCTCTGATTTTTTCTGCTTGCTTTCTTCACTATAAACACCCTGTAGATAAGGTCAGATCAGTAGGTCAAATTTTCATCAAAACTTGTAGAAGGTTTGGTTGAAAACTCTTTTATGGCTGATTGAGTGATTAATTCTGTTAATCCATTTGTATGTCAACTTTGTTTGAGTACTATAAGACATTAGTAAAAGTGGTTTATATGTGTTACTAGGAACCCAGTGCACACTCTACCGATGCTTGGTTTAAATGTGCCTTCAAAATGATACTCTGTTACAACACAGATCTGGTAGTGGAATTGCACAGTTAACATTCTGCTACTAAGACAAAAGAAAGTAGAATGATTGAAACTGGTGCTTAATTGGATGTAGAAAGATTATCCCTGTCCCTTTGCAGAGAAAAACGTGTTTATTTGGGAGTGGGTATAGCCGTCAAATTAGGTCAATGCAAAGAGTAGCAGCTATTTCCATGATTGCATCAGTTGAGGACGTCATATTTTCCCCCCATTTTGTTAAAACCGTTCACATTGCACAACAATTGCACCCTCACATCACAAAGGAAAGTCAGATTTCAAGAGATTTGGATCAATGACAGTGTCAGTGTTTTACATATGGAGGTGAAAGCTTTGGCTAACATTATAAATTTCACTATTTTAATTTGGTAATGTATAAACTTCATCAAAAATCAAATTGGTACATATTATTAATTTTCATTACTAAAGAAATGTAGCATCTTGAAAATTGTATATTAGCACATTATTTATCAGTATGCTTGGTTCTGGTGCAGGTATTTATGCATAAAATTATTACAAGATATTCCTTGACTCGAGTTCAAAACAGTTTAATCTTTAACAGGCTATGTAGTCATCTTTGCAAGTGTCCAAGCCCAACTGGTTTCTGTACACATTTATTTTTCATATAAAGACATTAAGACCATCACCAGATTTAAGTAAAAACCTGACACAAGCAGCTTCAGTCTACAAAAGTACCTTCTGTGTTGTTTCTTCCAGGAGTACTGCAATATTTTCCAGCATCGCAAGACATACACTGCTGAGCACTCTCCAGATTGCTATGTGGGTTATACGTACCTAAAAGTTTATACAAGGGGATCTGGAATTCTTAATAAAGTATTTCATTGTTATAAAACTGAACATTAATTTGCCCTTTGTCCTTTAGCTGAAGGAATTCAATTCACAATGACTCTTATTCTATGCATAATGATTCTTTAAAAGCTCCCTTGATTGAGCTTTATATCTAGCTATACATAGGTTGTCATTCATCTTTTAAATTACATGCACACAAATATGCCCACACGCATATGCACAAAGGTATACCTGAGAGTATGATATATAATACTTACCTGCAGGACATGGGTACTGTGTGCTCCACTCTGTGCCACTGACACAGTAGTATCCTGGGGGGCAGGAATAGCTGCTGAAGTTAGAGACTGGACCATAGGTGGCATCACAGTAGAAGCCTGGAACACATCCAAGATGCATATATTTTATATAGGCATTTTAAGTTCTGGATTATTTCGATCATTCTAAGTATAAATTACATTCGAGGAGAGATGACAATATGGCCATTGCCTTTTCTACAAGCTTCACAATTTCCCTGGGCATATGTACATTACTTGGTCTACAAGCGTTATATAACTGCCCTGAGCATACATTACCTTACAGCTGCCCTCGGCATACATTACCTGGTCTGCAAGCCTTACAGCTACCCTGGGCATACAGGTCCTGATACTGACCACTGGGACATTCTTGTTCCTCGTAACTTCCAAGTGGACAAAAGTGACCAGGGCTGCAATGGTGTAGGTCACTGGAATTTTGACCGGAAAGGCAGTAATAGCCTGAAATGGGGAGCATACATATTTTACAATTCAAAGATGGCAGCCATATTTATAATAATTTTAAAGCAGAATTTTAAATATACAAGCCAAGCCATAATGTACCAACTTTTGCTTGGTTTACATCTGTATAACAATCTAAACCTTTACCCCAATTAATGCGGCCATGTGAGTGCCATTCCGAAAGTTATCCGATCGAAAAAATTCTAACTACTTGCTGTGCAAATTATTCAACTTGAATGTTACAAAATAATCCAACAGGTTAAGTGTATGCTTTTGAAAGCTAAACCTAACATTGTGTCTGTTAAAGCTAATAAGAACTTTTCTACTTGGTTCTTAAATTCATGGGGCTGAAAACATGTTACTTCAAATGTTTGTTCATGATACAAAAAACATCCATGAACAATCAATGAATAAGCAGCAATAAAATAAAGTGCAGTTAAGGTCTAACAGTTATATATCTTTGCCTGCATTTGTAGATACACACCTGGGTCACATAAGGAACCAGGTGTACTCAAGCCTTCCTTATCGCAGTAGTAACCCTGTAAACAGGGCATACACTGGGCAATGGTCTGGAGTCCAGTTCTATTGGAATAGGTCCCCACTGGACAGCTGGGCTGGTGGACACTGGTGCCATTTGGACAGTAGTGACCAGTGGGACATATGTTACCTGTGACCCCATCTATAGGATCTGGGCGGGATGCAGCAAGGACACAGTAGTGACCTGCTCTACATGATCCTGTGACCTCAGAGAGACCTGGAATAGAAAATAAAGTTTTGTACAGGATCAGAAAACTATGCAGCAAGGACACAGTAGTGAAACCTGCACTTCATGATCCTGTGAATTCAGAGAGACCTGAAGTAAGACATCATTTGCTGTACAGGATCAGGGTGCAATGCAGCAAGGGCAAAATCCTGTGGCCTCAGAGAGATCTGGAATGAATAAGGGAATGTGTTGTACAAGATCAGAATGCCATGAAGCAACGTAGTGACCTGCACTACATGATCCTGTGACCTCAGAGAGACCTGGAATAGGAAATGATTTGATATACAGGTTTTTCAAGGTTTATCATTTATTACACATTCACAGCAATTTACTTTCTAGCATGAAGCAATTTAGCTTTTGACAACCTTTAGATCATAATATTTTTTAAACATAAAAAACTTATCTTGTTTAAAAATAAAATTTGTTGCTAGAAATTATGAAGTATAAGTACTGTAGCTGCCCCAGTACAATACAGATGATAAGTTCCCATGGCCCCTTGGGACAGAAATGTCTTACCACCCCCCCACCCCCACAAAAAAAAAGTACCTACCTGGTCTGGCACAGTACTTTCCCCCAGGGCAGCTGATGGGCTCCCATGACCCCTGGGGACAGTAATACCCTGGCTGGCACTCTCCCCCTGTCACCGTGGAGGGACAAAGACAGTCCCCGGTGGTGTAGTTGTCATAGTCAGATGGTTCAGAAGACCATGCAGCACGGACACAAAAATAGCCTGTAAAATACAGAGAAATAGCTGTTTCATTTAATATATTATATTAAATACTTCTAACTAAAAGTATATTATGAAACATTCCAGGATGGCTCATATCTGAACACCCTGAGAGTTTGGCCTCATTCAGAATAGGGGACTAACTAGTTCGAGAGTCAAACATGTCAAATACTACTGTACAAGCATGCCGTCTAATCCACTAACAGACACTGAATAGATATCCCATAGGGAAGTATTCAAGTGGGTGGGCCATATTTGACCCTTGGACTTGTTAGTCCCCTATTCTAAATGAGGCCATTGACAGCTTTATAGTCTGGCTATTATGCAAGAGAGTAACCTAAATAGTGTCCCAAGTCTGTGACAGCCCATTTACTTAATAGCAAAAAGCAAACTTGTGGAGTACTTGGAAAAGCTAATAACGTGTCATCCCTCGATCGGTTGAATTTGTTTGAGATTTAATTACTATGCCCCTGCAGGGACGACGCGTGGAGAAGTGTGTGAGAGGCAGAGAGACTATTACAGGATTAAGCGTTCTTTCTTTCATGTAGGTCCGCCATATTTAGGTCATGGCTTTGCTAGACCTCGGCTCTTCTCATTCTGAATGGTCCCAAATACTTACCTGCACTACAGAGTCCAGTTGGTCCAGTCAGTCCCTCCCCTGCACAGTAATATCCCCCAGGACACGGATAGCAATCAGCTAACTTCTCTCCCATAGTAGTGTTCCTGAAGTATCCCTTAGGACACTTGTACTCATAGGCATGGCCAGTCCCTTCTGGACAATAGTGACCAACAGGACACAGGTATTCCTCATAGGATGTTAAATTTTCTGGGCAGTAGAATCCCTCTGGACAGGACATGCAAGTGCTTTGACCAGTAAGGTTGTTATAAGTACCAGATGGGCAGCTCAGGGGGGTGGACGTGCCTCCTGAACAATAGTTACCAACAGGACAAGGTGCCCCCTGGGTGGGGTCTTCCCCAGTGGGAGATGAAGTGTTGCTTCCTATTAAGCAGTAGAAGCCAGGGTCACAGGGTCCCTGGGGGTGGCTGAGGTTAGTCCTGGCACAGTACATCCCCAGGGGACATTGGACACAATCCACTACAGCTTTGGCCAAAGGGGTATCCCTGTAGGTCCCGCTGGGGCATGGTACTGGGTCCTCTGTCTGTATTGGACAGTAGTGACCAGTAGGGCAAGGACCTCCTTGACCAGTGCTGATGTCAGGTGTTGGAGTTCCACTGCTGGCACCTATGGAGAAAAAAAATTAAACTGTAGTGTACTTATTTGAAAAAGTTTTGCTTGTAATAGCAATAAGACCACAAACTCATTTTCTGCCAAGAAATAACTCTAACATTGAAAAATAAACCAAAAATCACTCTACCTACAATGTCACTTTACTACAGAAACCTAAATGCAGCTGACAGACATAATGAATGCCATAAGAGCATTATACATGTATTTCAGAGGTTTTGGAAAAAAAGTTCATTGAAATACATGCAATTCAAAATAATAATAATAATAATAAATTGATTAGATAAAAATGGAAGATTATCCTACCAGATTTACAGTAGTACCCTGCCTCACACATAGCCACCCCAGACTGAGAGATGTTTGCGAGCGGATCATACCCCGTGGCACCATGCTTGAAGCAGTAGAATCCTCCAGGACATGGAAGGCACTCATTCTCAGAGGATAAACCTGAATCATGATAATCACACTTTGAATGTATTACCTTCATCTTCTTTCTTTTTACGTGATAGAAATTCAGTTCTGCAATTTTGACAACCTGAAAATTTACAGTATTGCAATCCTTTCTGAGCAACAGCACAATTTCATCTGGTTTTCAATACCCCGCAGGCTCTGCCTAATTCCTCCATTAGTATAACTTGAATTATCATTTATCTTGCACAAATCTTGTGGAACAGATTTTACTTTTGGTACAATCTGAACCATATAAATATTGATCTTCACATATATCTTCTCATAACTAAATTAAATTTTCTGGTACGTCCCAATAAGGTCTCCCATTATGTTATGCAGAGTCCACTGTTACAGTATATGTATAAATAACATTTACCATAACTACTACTGTAAGTTCCTGGTGGACATTTTGGCATATCTATGGCTGCACTCTTCGGGCAATAATGTCCCGGCAGACAGAGTCTAGGAACTATGTACTCTTCCACACTAGTGTCCAGCTCACAGTAATAGCCAGCAGGGCACGGCCAGCAGGTGGACAGTCCAGTCACATTGGAGAATGACCCTGGGGGACACTGCTGAGATGTTGCTAAAATTATATATATATTTTTTGTAAAAATGAGTCTATGAGGGAGAGGGGGACACTGCTGAGATGTTGCTGAAATTATATATATATATATATATATATATATATATATATATATATATATATATATATATACTTTTTTTGTAAAAAATGAGTCTTTGAGGGGGAGGGGGGTGGGACACTGCTGAGATATTGCTGAAATCATCTAGCTGTTACTTTTCAACTTTATGGTTTTCCAGTGAGAGTCGCTATCCAGAAAGAGGACTTAGGGTAAACAAAATATAATTTTAATTGACTCGTGCTATGGTAGAAATATTAGTGAAATGCCAAACTTACAAGCTTATTATCTAGGGTGAGCATAATGTTAGATGTTTCACTTTTCAGCAAAATTTATTTTCAATCATTAAATTACTCATCATCATTAATCATCATGGGTCTGGCTAAAAACAACTAGCAATTACACTAAGGGAAAGTTTATCCTTATACTAAGCCCACAAACATCATGAAGGCAAATCATTATGTTATATCTACTGCTAATACATGATACACCATGTATTTCACTTCAAATGTAAGCTCATCATTTTCCTCTAATAAATAAAACGCCAGCAACCCAATACTAAATTCTTTTACTTATCATACTCCATTAAACTATAAGGTCTCCCTATATTACTATGCAATATGCTTCTCTACAACACTAACCAACTAGGTACTAATAAATTGAACCTTTCTTGACTGAATAATATGTATTCATTTTAACAACAGTTATACAGCTGCGTCTTTGTAAATTTTCAAATATGTGAAACAATGCATAATTGCCACGCTAAAATTTGCAAATTTTGAAAAGATCTTTAAATGACATGATGGATGAAGTATCACATTTAGCTCACCTGAACCTTCAGGACAGTAGTAGCCTATCTTGCAAACACCCCCTGTGGCGACATCATTCACAGGCCTTGCACTACTGCTGCCACCAATGCAGTAGTATCCTGGTGCACACAGTCCTATAGGTGTCGTTAGTGCTGTTCCATTACACACCATTCCTGGATCACAACTAAGGCAGTGACTTTCATCCTGTCCTCCAGTGAAGGCACTGTAGGTACCGTTAGGGCAGGGATGGTGGCTGAAATAAGCTGTCCCCTCTGGACAGAAATAACCAGCCGGACAGAGGTCACCAAAAGATTTCTCGACAGGAGTGGATGTGTCAGTACCTTTTTGGCAGTAATGTCCAGCATGGCATTTGACCACTGGCTGTGCCAGGCCACTCTCAGTGCATGCAAAACCTTCCGTACACAGATTACAGGCCCCTAACTCAATCTGACCAGTTTCATCAAGATAATGGCCAACAGGGCAAGGCGTTGGTAGAGAACTACCTTCGGGACAAAAGTGACCTTTGGGACAGATGATCTTTGTGTCCTCAACCGTAGCAGTGCTGTCACAGTAGAAGCCCTGAGGACAGGGGAGACAAAAGTTTGAGTTATTCAGGGGTTGGTACTCTCCTTTTGGACAAGGCTCTGGTTTGGTAGCACCTGGTTCAGAGTAGTGACCTGCTGGTGTTGCGTGTTGTATTGCAGTGGTTGCGCCTCCTGTGCAGTAGTACCCAGCAGCACACAAAAACATGGCAGTTGAAGTCCCAATATCCGCAGCGATGCAAAAGTACCCTGGGTCACAAGGCAGACATTCACTGATGCTTTTAGCTCCAATGGATTTACTGTACGTCCCCATGGGACAAGCTGTTGGGAGAGTGGATCCTGTTGGACAGTAGCTTCCTTGTGGACACAGGTCCCCCAGGGTGCCACTGAGAGGAGCCTGAGACTGTGAACTCTCCTTGCAGAAGAAGCCAGCATCACAGAGCCCACTGGGAGCCGTCAGCCCTAACCCATCACAGTACCTTCCACCAGAACATCTGATACAATAGCTGCTGTTTGTGGAGCCACTGATACTGTTAAAGGTCCCCAGGGGGCAGGGGAGTGCATACTTACTGCCAGCCACACAGTAATAGCCAGGGGGACACTCCTTGGTTTCAGCCAAGCCTTCCTCGTCACAATATCTCCCTTGCAAACACTCCAGGCATTCAGCTTCTGACTTGATGCCAAGATCTGGGTTGTAGGTTCCTATCGGGCAAGGCAAAGCCTCTGGATGAATTGCAGCTCCAGGGCAGTAATGACCCTTGGGGCATTTATTGAATATATCTGGTGGCAGTTGCTGGCCGGGTAGACAAAGGGTTCCAGCTGGACAGACTCGAGCGGTCAGCATGAGTGTGGCACTAGTGGTGGTACTGTCACAGTAGTGACCAGCCAGGCACAGGGTGCAGTTTATGGATCCTACTTCAGAGAACATGCCCTTTCCACATGCTAGAGGGACAAATGTGCCATTGCCTGGGCAGTAGTGACCACCTGGGCATTCTAAACATGCAAGTGCATTCTTTTCACCATAATTAGGGTTGTAGAAGCCTCTGAAAATACATCAGATTTTTCCCTACAACATATGCAAATCCCTTTATGCACATAAAATCAGTATTCATATATTTGACACAAATGATTATTAATAAAAAGTTTTGCTTGAAAACTCACAGCTTGCCCTAAATGCAAAGAGTTGGCTAATATATAAGACTGCATAAAACATTATGCCTGGAAACTCACGGACTGCAGGGCTCTGGGATGTGTGTCTTCTCC